TGTAAGCATTCATTCCTTCAACACATGAGAAATTCTCTCTTTGAACAACAGTATCTTTAGGAAGACAGTTTCTTTGATGTCCGTACTAGTTTCTGGTTGGTTAACTTACTAGCACAAAAGGAGAGGGGTTCATACCGTTTTGGGGTCCAAGTTGCCCAAAATCTCAATCAGTGCTCTGTACATTTCCTCCGGGGTTCCCTCGAAGAACTTTCCACAACCAGCCACAAACAGCGTGTCACCTGCAAGGGAGGCGTGACACGGCATCAGGACCAGACAAGGCTCCTCACACCAAAGCGTGAGCACACGGTCCCCGCGGCCTCGCTCCTGCCATCGCCGTCCTCGCTCAGCAGAAGGCACGGGGAGAGCCAGGCTATGCTGCAGCCCCACATGGGCTCAGTGCTACATAAACGCAGGCGGCAAACACGACTTGTAGCACAGGAAACCCCACAGCTTCGCCAGGCAAACCGTGCCAGTGCTCCCCTACCTGTGGGCAGTCTGCTGTCCCCTCTTGTCCTTTCTAGAGCAGACAAGGAACACTGGTTCTCTTTGCTATGAAGCTGAACAAAGATGTCACCTCCGCATTTTCTCCCCAGTGCTCCCTAAAATCTTTCTTAAGCCATTACTTCTTCCATGCAGCAGCTGGTGCAAGCTCTGGAGAACGCCCATCAGGAGAGGGATGACACGGCAGTCTGGGGAGACGGGGCGCAGTCGCAGGGAAGGGGGAACCCTACTCTCCAAAACAGGATCCAGAACCCAGCTACCAGAGATGGAGCACCAGCCCTCTCCTACTCCCCCAGTTTCTCTTCTCTCCGTTTTGTTACGGACATGAGTACAGATATATGGAAAAGCAACAGGCTTTGGAATCAGCCACAGTTTGGCCTGAGAGAGTAAACCAACAGCTCTTGTTTCAAGGAAGAAAAGGCTAGATGTAGGATTCAGCCAGGGCTCGCTCTTGATGTTGCTTGCAGGGTGTCCAGCAATGCTTTACAAACCCAGAGGGGTTTCAGCAGTTTCATCTACATATACTACTTGGTAGCGCTCGCTAAGGGGACAAGATGTGGATGCTAACCAGCAGCACTGGCAGCAAGGGATGAATGCACCTCCAGAGTCAGGAGCACACAGGCAGAGGGGTAGCTTAGTTCTTTGCAACACAGACTGCCGGCAATGTAACCTCCCAACTCCTCACCTGTAAAAACAGCAGGTGGCTCGGAGCTATTTGGCTTAGTCACATAATAACAGATGTGTCCAGAAGTGTGACACGGCGTACAGAGGCATTTCACATTAAGAGATCCCACCTGAGAAGAAGGCAGAAGACTAGAGCTTAAGCTACCGTTTGCTAGCATTCGTACGGTTAGAAAAGAATTGCAACTATTACAACAGTCTAGTAGTCCTACAGGCAAATTCTCACATAGCTGGCCAGTAAACATCAGCTCTGCTCCTGGGAGAGTCCAGCAAGAGAGTTTTATGGCAGGGACTTGGACGGGAGCTGTTTCCTCCTAGCAGGTGTTGGGACAAAGAGAACTGCCAGATTCTTTCATTTACATGCAGAGTGACTCAGCGTCTGGTTGGCAGCAAGAGCAAACAGATCCAGAGCAACACAAAATCCTAAACAAAGTTAATCAAGTGTAAAAAGCTCCAAACACAAACGAAGCTGAAGGGAAGAAGTGGATGACACTCACAAAAAGGGAAGGATTAAACACATTCATGAGGCCAAGGGGATGTTTCCCCCACAGCCCTAATTTGCACACCTTCCCATGTGTTTCTGTGCTCCCGGCTTTGCTGCTGCCCCCCCCAAAGGTGCACCGCAAGACTAGGGGTGACGTTCATGCCAGCCTGCACATTTCACAGCAGTTTATGTCATCTGCCAGCTCGCCTGGAAACAAACAGCCAGGTTGCAACACGGTTTGCTGCTTTTGCTCTGGAAAAGCAACGCAGGCAGCTAGCACTGCTGGCCCACTTTCTCCTCACCCTGTATTCGAGCCTTCGTTCAGAGAGGATCGCTTGCATTTGTTCGGTGCTAACTATGCCCCAGAGAAGCACGAGCCCTGTCCCTTCACACGTCTGTTCTGACCACCCCACTTGGAGCACCCGGACACCCAGCACGCCCCAGGCAATGCAGGCGTCTGAGCCATGCCAATGTTCTCAGCAATGAAACATCGCTGGCCAAAACAAGACAGAGGGGTTATGGTTCACAGGGCTGGAAAAGGGTGAAAGCTGTACTTAAACTATCAACTACATCCAAGAGACGTTACAAGGTAAAAGAGCTGTGACCACAATATTAACTCAGGTTGGTCCCATTGGTCCAGCTCTAAAGCAGTGACTCAAATGGGAGATGTCCCTCAACGGAGTCCTGCCGCTCACTCCCTTTACCTTGAGTGATGTAAGGTGAGACACTTTCTGTGTCAGTGCTCCAACTCTGCTGTCTCCCCCATACACACGCAACCCCGTCTCCATCTTTACGAGCTTCTCATTTCCTCCAGCATGGTCCCTGGAAGATCAGAAAAACGGATTTGGGCAGGGATGAAGACAAATTTATCGTAACCCGTATTGCAACGGTAACCTCCAGGTGATCATTTCTGATCAACTGTTCTCCCAGTACCTAACACTGTCCTCATGTCAAAGGATATGCCACATCAGCAGGAGCGGAGATAATTTCTCCAGTAACTTGGACAGTGAGAGGGGGGAACAACCCCCGACAAGTTCATACCCAGTGGGAAACACCTGCCTTAAGGGCTCACAGTCAACTCTCCAGTGACTAGGGCAGGAAGAGATTGGGATAACCGGGATATGTGTAATTCAGTGTCCCACAAGACACCATGGAGCGAGCACGCCAGTGTCCGACCAGCTCAGCATTCAGGTGCTGGTCCTGCCAGACCAGGGCTGGTTCTCCAGCCACAGAGGTGGCTCCGCTACGGCCCACGCGAGAGGTCACTCACGTTCAGCACTGCAAAACTGCTAATGCGAAACATTCATCTTTACATCCCTGGCAGAGTTAATCTGCAACGCAGGTAATCCTCCCACAAGTGCTGACTGTGAGTAGCACGCCTTACAGGCATGTCCTAGCACCTCAGTGGGAGCGTGCTCCTTCCTGCACTCCACAGCTACCTTCACACACAGTTATTTCACTGGCCACCTGGAAGAAGCCAGCATTTTAAAGGTTAAAGGCACTGACAGACAGAGCTTGCAGGCTAGACAATGCATCTGGTCATAGCAAGCCCAAGGGAACACTTCCCAAGCTCTGATCCTTCTCCTCACACCTAAGCTCCTGCTTAGAGAAGACCAACTTGATCCAACAACTCTTGACTGCTTTCTGCAGAGGGAAGAGGGGTCCCCTACAGCAGACAGTTACCAGTGATGATGTGTGGTCAGGACGGTGGTCAGCTTCACGCCGTGCTTTTTGACTGCATCCAACACCTGCAGGTACAGGGCACAGCAAGAGCATCACAACTCACTGAAATGACTTAACAGCACACCCAGCGCCTGGTGTAACCTGGACACAACCCCTTCAAGGTCTGAGAGCCACATGAGCAGCTCTGCAGAGAACTCATCCCTCTCCAAGTCGTAGTAACAGATTAGGACACAAGGTCTCTGATCCAGCTAGTCACGACTAAGCCCTCGGTCCCATTTTCTGCACTAAGTCAAACTAAGGGCAAAAAAGAAAATCGGGTCAATAACCCTTGAAGTCAGGGACAAGCTGCCTGGGCCCAGAAGCAGACTGCCTGCGGAGCCCTGTCCCTGTCGAGGCATGGCCAGTATGTCCTGCCTTTCCCCCACGCCTGAGTCAGCGTGTGACTAATTCTCTTGTGGATGTGGCAACCTGGAAGGATCTCCCAGACTCCCAGCGGTGAGCACCCTGCTCACAAAGGCAGCAGACACCATTACCTTCTGGGGCTGCACAGGATCAACTATTGCAGCCTCCTTCGTTTCCTCATCAATGAGGAGGTACATGTAGTTGTCTGTGAGGGCTGGGAGTAATTCCACCTTCATGTCGGCTTGCGTGACCGTCTTCGACCTCCTCTGTTCGTGCTCCGTGTGCAGGAAGACAGCTCGCAGCTGCGCTGGACCTGGGGACCCCAAAACAGGCAAACCTCAGATTAGCCGAGGGAAGGGAACAAGCACAGCAGGTCCCACGGCCCTGGAGAAGGAAGGCTATGGACAGCCCAACCTGCCTCCTTCAGAGGAAGAGGAGGGAGGTCACCACGGGACCGCAGTGCCTGGCTGCGTCACCTTGTGCCCCACAGCACGGGAGGCTCTCAGTGCCTCACAGCTGCACTGGAGTGGGACACTTTGATCCCAGAGATGTGCTCATGCAGGGAAAGCGCTGTACCTGGTTTACCTTGTGCCCCACAGCACGGGAGGCTCTCGGTGCCTCACAGCTGCACCGGAGTGGGACACTTTGATCCCAGAGATGCACTCATGCAGAGAAAGCGCTGTACCTGGTTCGGAGAGAAGATTTCAAGGGCCAGGAAAGCAGAACGGGGAGGGAACAGCTGGACAAAGGTCAGCCTGGGACAGTGACTTTGCAAAAAAAGCACCAAAGGCCATGTCACAGCCAAAAGACAAAAAGGGAGGGGAAAAAAAAAAACAAAACCAACACAACAAGAAAAGGAGAAATACACCCACTGCTACAACAGAAACATCTGGTTCGTTCCTTGGGGAAATGACATCCTGCCCGTGCACGGAGAGAAGACAGGCTCTCTGCACGGAGGGCAAGGCTCCCTGCCTGGCCAGGTACCAAGCACGCACTGTGGGCAGGCTTCTTGCTCACGGGCTACCTTGATGCAACAGCAGTGCTTCCCTGTTTGCTTTTGGTTAAATGTTTAATCAGATCCAAGAAGCAAACCTAATTCCAGATGCAAATAACCTGTGCTCCACTGTTCAGCTCACAGATATGCAGTTCTCAAAGAAACAACCATGCCCTAAGAGACTCTGCCATTAAAAAAAAAAAAAAAAAAAAAAAGAGAGGAAAAACAGGAACA